CTGTAGGATGCTGGACATACATGTGAGTGTCCAACATCGGATAGGGTGGAGGACTGCAGGAAGGGGACTGAAGCATGACCAAACCCTTTAGAAGGTGATCCTCTCTCCCTCTCATTCTCCTCTGTACACTCACATGCTCTACCTTGACTAAAAAATTATAGCAATAGTAATAATTTAAAAAACAAAACTCTTTTTAAAAATTTACTTAAGAGTTTTCTCATTTTCTTTTTTCTGTTTTTGCAATAGGGCAAAACATCTGTTCACTGGACAGAGACAGGTGAAGAGAGAGTGAGAAAGTGAGAAATCATTGCAGTCCCTTCTCCTCCATTCTCTTAGGATTTGGGGTGCGTATACACACACACACACACACACACACACACACACATCCAGCATGATTTTCAAGCTGCTAGGATAAGACTCAAATCATGCAGTCATCCCTAAGTGAGATCTAGTCACTTTAACCTCCACACCATCTTCTAGCCCAGCTTAAGGTAATTTTAAAATACTTTTCTATCCTTCTATATCTGAATGACACAATAGGGTTTCCTTAGTAATGGTGACTCATTAAAGCCATTTATTTATTTATTTATTTTCTGCTATAGGACATGTGTACTCACTAGAGAGAGGGAGAGAAAAGAAAAATAAAAAGGCACTCCCCAGGGCAGATGGCCACACACTAGTCACTTTTCCTCCATTTTCCTTTCCAGCTTTTGGGAATGCATACACTTGTATCAGTTGTGTTTTTCAAGCTACTGGGTCCAGGACTCAAAACACACAATTGGCCATGCGGGATCCGGCTGCCTGACTGATCCAACCTGGTATTCTTTTTAACTATCACCTACCAAATAAAAATCACCCATAACATTAAAAGTAAAAATAAAAATACTATTGAGAGACTATAATCTGCACATTCAAATATTTGGAGATCTTGTTGGGGAGGTGATGTATATATAAGTGAAAATTAAATTGTTCTATGAAGTAAATAATTGACAGTAAAATAATTAACATTACTGCACAAAAGACTGTGCAAATAATTGTCAAATGAAAGGCATGTAACAAAAATGCTATCAAAGTTTAAAAGAAGGAAGTACTATTTTAATTATCACTGTGCATTTTGTTTGACTGTCTATTAGACTTCAATCTTTGAGAAAGAAGGAACTGTACCTTATAATTATTCGAGCCACTCAGAGTACCAAGAGTAAAAACTGTTTGATATATAGGGGGATAACAACATAAACGTTTAGGCCCAGTCCATGTCTCTGGAGTGATACGCTTCTTAAGAAAGACTGGATCCCTGTGATTCGAATCCCTGGCCTGATGATCTGCCTGAAATATCCTGCCTGAAACCAGTGCCTAAGATCTAACCTGCAGGAAAACAGGGGGAAGGGGAGCACAGCAGGACCAGGCCCTGTGGAGGGTACTCATCTTTCTCATTCCCCAAGTCTTCTCTCACTCTCACGTGGGTGCACACATGTTCTATCATAAATCTATTTTTAAAAAAGAATCTAAAATAATAAACAAAAATTATTATTCTAAAATAGTATTTGAAACAAATACCAGGTTGTGGGGAGAGAAGTCATGATGCATTTTTGTACTGAAAAATATATCATGACTTTTCCAATGATCTAACATTTTATCCTTCAGAATTATACAAACTATAGTCTTATTCTCTGAAAAGTAGTTCCAAAGTGGTGCAAATACTGATTTTCCTACAGTCTAGCAAAGTGTAATATGTACTAGGTGCTCAATATATCTTGGTTAAATTTTATACAGGAAGAATTCTACATAAAAATTCAAACATGATTGATGTGGAATAGATACTTTCTATAAAGAAAAACTGAGTCTTTAAAATACTTAGAAACAAAAGTACATACTCACATAAAAATAAGATTTTTTATTAATCTGAGAGGCACTATAACCCTAAATATTTTCAGTGTTTATTATTAATAACACCAAATTCTATTATTGTGGGGAAATATTTGTGTAATATGTAGTTTCTTCTAAAAATGTAGAAAAATTTTAAAAGTAGTCTCTGGTGAGACTTTGTAAAAGTGTAAGGGTAAATGACCCTCATCTTAGTCTGATTGACAAATTTCACATGTATGGTAACTACTATTTTATTTAAAAATGTGAGATGGAATATAGAAATAACAGAAGAAGGAATAGTTGCTTAACATAACAACATCTGAAACAGAGTAGAATTTTGCATTTTTTTAAATAAGGTTTTCTTTTTCCCCACTGGTAGAGTTATTAAAGTATTTCAACATATGTTGAGATATTATACATGGCTTTGTTCCCAGAGTTGGTAGACCACAGAAGCAATATAAAGTACTAATTTACCTAAATAAAATCAAGGGCCATTATGATGCCAGTTTATATAACACATCTTTTGTCATAAATCCATTTAAGGTTCAAGGCATGAGATTAAATAATCCATTCTTAATAGTATAGAAATTAACTGACTAAATAAGATTTATTGCCATCAAATAGTTCAAAGAACTTTTCTGAATAGCAGAAGAAATTTAAAATTTAGTAGTTTCAATTAGACCTGAACCATAACATTTTCTTCTGAATAGAAAGAAAATATAATTTTTTTTAGAGGTTTTTGCTATAGGACGCATGCGCTCGCCAGACAGACAGAGAGAGACACAGAGATAGAAAGCGAAAAATCACCCCCCAGGTGGGAAGGCCACGCCGCAATCCCTTCTACTCCATTCTCCTCTCGGGATCTTGGGTATGCACACACACACTCCTGGTGTGAGTTTAAGCCACCGGGTCCGGGACTTGAACTGTGGTCGACTACGTGGGAGTCCAGTGACATAGCCATTACACTAACTGCTGGTCCCAAGAAAATATATATTTTTTTCTTTTTTTGGAGAGGTTTTGTTTTGTTTTGTTTTGTTTTTTCACTATAGGGTGCGTGCGTTCACCAGACAGACAGAGACATAGAGACAGAAAGCGAGAAATCACCCCCCGGGGAGATGGTCACGCCACAATCCCTTCTCCTCCATTCTCCTCTCAGGATCTTGGGCATGCACGCACACGTGCCTGGCGTGAGTTTTAAGCCACCGGGTCCGGAATGCGAACTGTGGTCGACTACATGGGAGTCCAGCGACATAGCCATTACGCTAACTGCTGGTTCCCGAGAAAATAGAATTTTTAACAATGACACCCTTATTTCTATAAGAGCTATTAGAATAACATTTTGGGAGCTTTTTTTTTTTTTTTTTTTTAAGTAACAAAATTAATTGTCTAGATAATTCAATTAAACATACTTTAAGCAGAAATATATCTTGATTTTTTAAAGATTTACTGAATTCTGGGAACCAGCAGTTAGCGTAATGGCTATGTTGCTGGACTCCCACGTAGTCCACCGCGGTTCGCGTCTCGGACCCGGTGGCTTAAATCTCACGCCGGGCGCGTGTGCGTGTGTGTCCAAGATCCTGAGAGGAGAATGGAGGAGAAGGGATTGTGGTGTGACCATCCCCCCTGGGCGGTGATTTCTCGCTTTCTGTCTCTATGTTTCTCTCTGTCTGTCTGGCAAGCGCATGCGCCCTATAGTGAAAACCTCTCCAAAAAAAAAAAAAAAAGATTTACTGAATTCTTAATTTAATAATTATTCTAAACAATGGGATCAGCAGATGGCATAATGGTTATGTCACTGGACTCTCAAATTGCTGACCATGGTTCTTGTCTTGGACAAGATGGCTTGAAGCTCACACTAGGTGCGAACATGTGCATGCCCAAAATCCTGAGAGCATGGGTGCATGCGTGGCCATCCCCATGGGGGGTGATTTCTTGCTTTCTATCTCTCTGTCTCTTCCATGAGTGCACACGCCCTATAGCAAAAATCTCATTTAAAAAAAAAATATATATATATATTTTTGGGGGGGTCAGTTGATGGCATAATGGTTACATCATTGGACTCCCTCCCACATGGCCAACCATGGTTCAAGTCCTGGACCTGGTGGCTTGAAACTCACACCAGGTGCCTGTGCAGGTGTGCCCAAAATCCTGAGAGGAGAATGGAGGAGAAGGATTGTGGTATGGTCATCCTTCCAGGGAGTGATTTCTTGCTTTTTATCTCTGTCTCTCTCTGTCTCTTTGGTGAGCACACACACCCTATAGCAAAAATCTCTTCCTAAAAAAAAATATTCTAAGCATTAGTAACATCCAATAACTAAACTCTCACTTTATTTTTCAAAAGAGGAATATGCATTTTATTTATATTAAATCACTAATTTTCAGATATTAATAACTTGGTTCTTAAAAAGCATCTATCACACACTGTTTTTTCACAATACTCCTGGGTGTTACTTTTCTTTATAGCAAACTTTAATAGTGTCATTTCTTTTAGTGATATGCAAAGTAAATTATTGTTTTCTTTTAATACAATCCTGTTTTAATTTGTTTTCTTTAGGACACATAAGTGATCTAAATATTTTATTGAAGTTAAAGAGGAAAAAGTCTTACACTATTTTATGGGAGAGAAACACAGCACCAAAAGAGTGCTTCAGAAACATTTCTAGATTCTCAATTAAAAGCTGCCAGATATTTAAACGAGGGAAAAAAAAAAAAGATCAGATTGCTTCCTAAAAGCACCACTCTCTCGCCAATCTCAATGCAAAAGAAAGCTCCATGTGGAATTTTCATAGAAAGACTGAACTGTGTAGCACAGTTCAATAAAACAAGCAAAAAAGAAATGGCAATAATTCAATAAAGTATGGCAGCAGTGGAAAGAAAGTCTTTAAAAGCAAAGTTTAAACATTTCTTATAGAGTTCTTTTCCAGAAGACTAAACGCAATGAGGAGCAGGGACCAATGTGTTAACCCGTCAACCTACCCTAATAGCATGACAGAGGCTTCCCACCTGACAGGGTCATGCCTGGGAGAGAGAAGGAGAGTGAGACTGACAGAATGCCCAGGGAGGGTATTGATCCACTGACTCCTTTCTGGTAACCATTACAGAGACATGAGTTGACAGTAATTAAAATGACTTACACACTGGGGTGGTTTCAAACTCAAATCTTCGACTGAAGACACCGTAGCCTGCTGCCGTACGTGCTCGAATTTGGAAGACATAGACTGAGGCTGGTTTCAAGCCCTCTGCAGTAATAGTTGTCTCTTTAGATTTGATAATTGTGTAGCTGGTCTCTTGGTCCTTGAATTACACGTGTACATACAAATAAAAAAAAAAGTCAACAAATGAATGACTAATGACCACAGAACTTAGACTCATAGGCAGAAAATGAAATAGAAACCAGAGGACTCTGTTAGTATAAATATAATGCTTCAGGGGAAAAAACATCTTATAAAAACCTTGTACATCTTAGAATCCTCAAGTGTTTTCTAGAACCCAGGGTGGTGGGTGCCATCTCAACTCAATACTCATCAAACATACTTGCTTTTGGAAAAAAATTAAAATGAAAATGAAAAAACATACTTTACAACTTCAAAGGTACAGTTTTGCAGAAGATTATTTTATAGAATTTGAGTATTGTTATTGTGTGCATGTCTTCCTCAGAAATATTTTACTTACACATATCTAACATGCTGTCTACTCATAGAGAAAAGTTGACAATATCTCAGATACCGCCAGGTAAATCTCACACTTTAAATCTTTAGCAAATTAGGTATCTAATTCTATTTAGAGCTTGAGAAAAGAAAGTGGTACTTCCCTGGTGCACTTTAATTTCAATTCACTGAGTCTTAAGAGAGAGTTAAAGAAAAATATGCAAACACCAAACACCGTAACTTATAACTTTTTCTTTATCATATTTCCTGGGGCCAGCAGAGGGTATAGCAGTTATGCCACTGGACTCCCACCTGACCAACCACTGTTCATGTCCTGGACCCAGTGATTTGAAAAATCACCTTAGTTGCATGTGTGCATGTCCGATATCCAGGGAGAATGGAGTAGAAGGGATTGTGGCATGGCCATCCCCGTGGGGGAGTGATTTCTCACTTTCCCTCTCACTGTCTCTGTCTCTTTCTCTGGCCAGTGCACACACCCTATAGCAAAAAAACTCTTAAAAAAGTAAATTCCTATTTTGTGAGGTATAAGCAAAGCACCAAATGGAAATGGAATAGGAAAAACATAGGATAGATAGTTTTGGAAGCTAAAATAAATAGTGACTGCATATTTTCACTTCTAACAAAAGTTTAAACTAACTATCTGTAACTCCTCATTATCATTTTGAAGCAACTGCACTGACTTGATTGTGGACATTGAAATCACATGCTAAGATGCATCTGGTCCATTTATATTTGGTTGTCGGAAAAGTCATCACATATTTTCTATTCAAAACTATGCCATGAGTTTTCTGACAACCCAATTAATTTATCTTCAGCTTCCTTACCTATGAAATTGGGATAGAAAATATTGCATAGGTTTCATTACAGAGACATTATAAGATACAATGAGGTAAAATATATGAAAATAGTAAACTAAAATACATATTTTAGTTTTCATAATTTTTAATTTTTTCCTTGATTGTTTCTTTTTCTGTATTCATTTTTTTTTAGGTTTTTGCTATTTTGCTATAGAACACTTGTTTCACAAAAGAGAGAGACAGAGAGACAGAGAGACAAAAAGTGAGAAATCACCCTCCAGGGGGATGGCCATGCCACAATCCCTTCTCCATTCTCTTCCTGGGATCCTGGGCATGCATGTACACATGCCCATTATAACTCTTATGCCACCATGTCCAGACTCAAGTCATGGTCTGCCATGTGGGAGTCCAACACCTTAACCACCACACCACCTGCTGGTCCCGATTATACAACTTAACAAACATTCTTTTAAAGCAATTTGCCATTCCTCATAACATAAACATATAAAATTATCTTAGACATAAATATATCCAAATTTCATTCTTATAAATAGGCGTGGTCTCATTTCTAGTTGAAATAGACTTTCTGATTCATTCTAGGCAAATGATTGATTTTCAGTTTTTAATGCACATGTTAATTTAAGTGTCTAATCTTTAAAATGGTTAGGAAATTTTGTTAGAGTTTTGCAAAGGAATCTAAGTAGGGAGCTATATACTACAAAACTTTATTAATACCTTTCAATTTCTTCACTGTTCTGTTACCTAATCTAATACCCCTCCTATATGCCAGGCATATAACAGTAAAAAAGCAGATCATTTCTTGATGTGTTTTTTTTTAAATATCTATAAACTATTATCATTATGAGCTGTCCTGCAAATGATCAGGAATAAATCTAATAATATTATTTATTATTTTTCTAAAAAATATTATTTCTCACTAGTATACTTCCCAGTTTGGCTATGATGGTAGCAGTAACTTTCAGTAACAGATGATTAAAATGTCTGTTGATATTTTCCTTTGTTTAAAAGGAATTTAACTTGGGACCAGCAGTTGGCCCAATGCCTGTCACTGGACTCCCATGTAGTCTACCGTGGTTTGAGTCCCAGATCCTGCGGTTTAAACTCATGCTGGGCACATGTGTGTGTATGCCCAAGATCCCAAGAGGAGAATGGATTGCGGCACAGTTATCCCCCCTTGGGGGTGGTTTCTCACTTTCTATTTCTCTGTCTCTCTCTGTCTTTCTGGTGAGTGCACGTGCCGTATAGCAAAAACCTCTCAAAAATAAAAAATAAAAAGGAATTTAACTTGGCAAAAAGAGAAAAATCTATTCAAAAGTATGAGATACTAGTATATTTGATTTATATGATTTGTACATCAAATATCTTTTTAGAATTTTTTATTAAAGTTTTTTGCTATAGTGCATGTGTGCTTGCTGGACAGAGTGAAAGAGAAAGAGAAAGTGAGAAAGCAACCCCACAGGGGATGAACATTCTTCTTCTATTCCATTCTCCTCTTGAGTTTTGGACATGCACACACAGGCATCCATCATGTTTTTCAAGCTACTGGGGCCAAGAATTGAAGTTGACCATGTGGGATTCAGCCACCTTAACCTCCATGTCATCTGCTGGGCCAAAATATCAATATTTATAATGAAAAGTAAAAAAGGACTTTTAAAAAAAGAGGTTTATAAATGTAGGTACACAACCTTGAACCTCAGTTTCTTCTTCTTTAACATGTAGAGGAGATTATTTATCCAGTGTATTGAGAGAAGAAAGAAATAAAGAAATAGTGTACAATAGTATACAAAGTAGTATACATAGGCCAAGCATAAGCTCCCCAAAAGAATAAGTTCTAAGTAAATTTGATGACTATTCTGTAGCATAATGGTAAATTCTTTCACTGAAAAGTGTAAAAAAATTTAAAAGATTACATGGCTATAAATCCTAACTATTGAAGGTACAATACATATGTTCTGTGTAATTATTACAAATTGCTACTTTCAATAAAGAAAAATTACAAGGAAACTGAAATGCTGTTCCTTGAACCTATGATCTAATATCAGTTGCACAAAATTACATGAGTCTAATTTAAATTACAAAATCACATCAGTGCGATTTAACAGTTTTGTGTTTTTTTAAACCTAGGTTCTAATTGCAGTTTGTCTTTCTAAATTAGCTGAGAACTATATTATCAGGAATTTAGCAAAGCATTTACGCAAGCCATCAAAACCAATGACTGACTATACCTTGTGCATGGCCTAACTATCTTTCGAAATCTAGTAGTGTCCCATTCTTTTAACTCGTTCTCATAGTCTAATTTTCTTCATCGCAAACTGTGTCTACACGTCTTCAACACCCACGGCCACCTGGCTGCCAAGTCCTTGCCAGGGCAGTCCCTGTGCTGCCTCTGTGCCCCAGCTGAGCAAAGGAGCTGCATTCCCCAGCTGCTTAGCAAACACTGTTCGCATGCAGTGAGAAAGAGGGCCTCAGCAGAAAGAGCCAGCTGGCAAACACCCTGCCAAGGGGCAGCTTCCCTTTGCCTCTGCCTTTAATTAAGAGATGGCAATGGGCCCATCACCATGCAGGAGCAGTGAAGCCCAGTGACCTCTATTAGAGCAGGGCAATCACAGGCAGAAATGCCAGCTGGCAAGTGCATGTGCCCTGGAAAGCTTTGCCACCTGTGTCTGGCCAAAAGCCATCCAATGAAATGGCGGTGTCACTCCAAAGGTTCAAAATGAGCTCTGGAAACCTATCAGGGCCCCCCGCCTCAATACATAGTATAAAAGCTCATTATCCCTTTTTTCCCTGCAAGTCTTCAAAAAAAAAAAGAAAAAAATCAAAACCTTTTTTTATATTGGTATGCCCAGTAATTTGTCTCAACAAAAAAGTCTGGAAATTAATATCTTCATTGTAAAAAGGAAAACACTGACCAAAAGAAGTTAATAATTTCCTTTCAAACACTATATTAAGTAAAGATTTTGCTGCGTCTTAAGCATGTACATGGCAACTTGTTATTAATTTATTGAGGAAATGCATAGAAACCTTTTCCCAAATCCTTTTTTTCTCACTTTGAGTTATGCAGATAATAGAATGTATTAATGCACCACTAAATATAAACCATCAATTATAAGGTCAAATTGTACTGAAATAAGTGTAATTCAAAAAAGAAATTGAAGTATAAAGAAAATAATTCCACAACATGCTTCCAATTCCTTAGAAGGAACATACATAGCAAAGAACTTCTGCATACCATTTGATGAGTAACTCTTTGTTCTAACAGGAGCAGCAACTTAAAGAAAAAAAAAAAAAAGATACATTTTTGCTCTTATACACATGCTAGAAAGTAGCAGTAAAAACAATGAAAGGTTATTCACTGGGTGAAGAAAAAGATGAAATAGGATGGTGTCCTGAAGGACAAAAAAGAAAGCCAGCAGTTGGTCCAGCTTATCAGTTCAAGGGAAGAAAACAACACAAGCCAGTATGTCCTAGTCAGAGTATTAGCCTTCCTGCTGCTGAGATTTATGTCATCTAAGATATATACATTCAGACATAGCTTTTGGTACTTAGTTGTTTTAAAGTTCCATTATGAGAACCAGCAGATGGCATAATGGTTGCATCAGTGGACTGCCACATGGCAGACTGCAGTTCAAGTCCCAGACATGGAGGTTTGAGACTTATGCCACATGTATGTATGTGCATAGCCAAAATCCCTAGAGGAGAATAGAGGAGAAGAGATTCCGGCATGACCATTCCCCCAAGGGGTGATTTCTCACTTTCTGTCTCTCTGTCTCTCTGGTTAGCACACATGCCCTATAGCAGAGATCTCACTAAAAAAAATTTTATTATGCATTTCAAATTATTTTAAAATCAACTGTAATTCAAAGAAAAATTTGGAAACTTAGCAGTTTAGGATATTTATAGCATATTGGGCATGCATTTATATATATATTTATATGTATATATATATATAAAACATAGCTTCACATTAGTATAGAGTAATAAAGTTTACAAAAAATCAAATACTAAACTTAAAATGTAATTTTGCAACTTATTTTTGGATATAGTATGTATTTAAATGGTAGACCTCTGGAATCTGAAATGCTTTGATTACTAATCTCAAAGACACAGGAATCAGTGAAGAATATGAATGTAATTGTCTTCTACATGATTAACTCCCTTTCTGTTGTCAAAGAACACTATATACCATATTTCAAGACAACCATCTCAGAATTATTCTCTTAGAGCATTTTTGGTGAATAACGTATTTGGTAACATTTTTTGCAAAATATCTTATAATATCACTATGTATGCTCTGTTACATGTAATGCTAATAGCAAGTGATTCCAAGAGTGACTACTAGCATGTGATAGTAGTAATAATTGACTTCTATTAATCTGTTAATAAAAATAAATATATACACAGTGTAGACATATAAAAAACTGAGCACTCCACACCAGTCCAGCTTTAGAAATTATAAGCTCATCTTTAACTTCCAGCTTTATGATTCCTTTAACAACAGCTCAGTTGGCTGTGGATTCAGAGTAGAAAGGAAGGTGATGAACATTACCATTAAGTGTCAACAAGGATTAAGGTAAAATACGGAAGGATGAATTAAGAGACAACTCAGGGAAAAAGAAGAAATCAAATAACGGAAAATATCAACAGACATTTTAATCATCTGTTACTGAAAGTTACCTGCCCACACTTTTAAGTTTTGTTTTGTTTTGTTTTGGCCAGAGGGTGCAAGACTCACTGGAGAGACAGAGGGAAAGTGAGAAATCACTCTCCAAGGGGGATGGCCACACTCCAATCCCTTCTCCTCCATTCTCCTCTTGGGATTTTGAGCAAGCACACACACACACACATGGAATGTGATTTTCAAGCCATCAGGTCTGAGACTCAAACCACCGTCACCCATGTGAGAGTCCAGCATCTTAACTACCACACCCTCTGCTGGGCCCCTGTCCACACTTTCGTAACTGTGCAGGTATAATATTCTGAGTTACAGGCCACATATGCATGGTTTTCCTGATAGACCAAAGGAGTCTTTACAGAAGATGAACAGCCTAAGTGTTTGCAACACTTTCAAAATATTGTATGACTTCATCTTTAATGTTGGAAAATCTGCTTGCACCAGTGTTACACTATATGGTCGTATCCAGCCACTGCAAACTATTTGGCAGGAGAAGGACATGACTAGAATGCTCCCTGTCTCCATCCAGCCCCTGTAATCATGACTGCACAATCAATTGTCATTGATTTACGTGTAAAATTGTACCTACTCTTCTACAAATTGGATAATTGCAGTAGCTAAAATGGAAGAAAAAAGGAGAAAGGACACTTTTATTCTGTTAGTCCTACCTTTTCAAAATATTTGATTTCATACTCCAGGATGATTCCATTGGGCCGGTCTGGCTCTTGCCAAGACAAAGAGATGCTGTTTTTTGCAATCTTCCCCTTTTTCACATTGGTGACTGGAGAGGGGGCTGAAAAATAGCATAAACAAAGAATTGCACGGTTAATAGAGCCCTGACTTTACAACCTGCTCTGTGATTATATGTATACATTGGCATTTTTAGAATATAGTACAATTAGAAATCCCAAACAATTTAATTTTTTAAATCTGATAACAATTTTACTAAGTTTCTAAAGATTAGGAAGTGGTTTACAAACACGTATTAGCTAAATATCCCGAGGATTTTCTTATAAACTACAATAACATAGAATCTTAAGACCTCATTTTCTCCATCAAGTTTGGAAATATAGATAAATGACTTTTTTTTAAAAAAGAATAAAGACATTTTTAATGACTTTATGTATCTTCTGTTACTAAAATGTATAGATGCTCTAAAATGTATCCTATTACGCTAACAAATACATAATTGTCTATATTAGTAGATTTCCACAACATTAAGGCTCTTTTGGCTAATTTACTATTTTCTATTAAAAGTAATGATGTTTATAAGCATTAGTGGGTTTGCATATTCAATACAGTGAGACTTTTCCTTAAAATATGTTAGTAAACATGTGGCATATCTTGAAATCAATAGGAAGTCAAAGAAATATTTTCCTTCATTTCCATTTCCCCCAAATATTTCATTACAGGTCTCAATCACTTATGGTGTTCTGCTATGGTATTTTATTTATTTATTTATAGTTATTACTATCTGCTATGGTATTATATGACTGGTTTTCTCATGAAAATAGAAAGAAAATATATCTCATTTTGGGCATATCTGGATATTTTAAATCCACAATATGTCTAAATGTTTTAGTCAACATCTGTTTTTATCAATCAGCTGAGAAATGTATAGACTCTCTGACAAAATAAAAAGGTGTCAGCTAATATTTTTCTAATGTAGATGACCTTTACATTTACGATTTTTAGCTTTTATGAAAGCCAGAAAGACCATCATGGGCTAATGAATAGTGTGTACATATTTCTTCGATGGAAAATCTCTCAGCCATAGTGAGTAGTCTATAATCAGAGGAACAGCCCTATCTGATAATAACAGATACCTACTGAGACGAAATCATATATATTAATAATTTCTCACTATTTTGATTTCTAGCATTTTCACACAAAATCACATCCTACAGTTTGTCATGCTTTGTTTATGTTTCTGGTCCTCAGAAAATGTAATCAAACCAGAGGGAACACCTGACTCAGCAGACTGCCTGAACATGTCAGAGAACAGTATGTCAAACCCAATAGTGTCGTGAAAGTGGGGTGGAAAGAAAGGTTGATCATTTTAAAATAAAGACAAACTTATGTCACTCCTCTGCTTAAAGCCCTTCACTGCTCCTCTCTCTCAAGAGTAAATTCAGATGTACGACCAGCAGATAGTGTAATGGCTATGTCGCTGGACTCCCATGTAGCCGACAACGGTTCGAGTCCTGGACCCGGTGGCTTAAACTCAGGCTGGGCATGTATGCGTGTGTGCCCAAGATCTAGAGAGGAGAATGGAGGAGAAGGGATTGCAGTGTGGTCATCCCCCTGGGGGTGATTTCTTGCTTTCTGTCTCTGTCTCTCTTTGTCTTTCTGGCAAGAGCACATGCACTATAGCAGAAACCTTCCCCCAAAAGAAAAATAAAAACAAAAGAGTAAACCCAGATGTGAAACTGCAGGCCACCACAAACAGGCACGTTGTTTCCCTCCTCCTACCTCCTCTGCTCCAGGATTTCTGCTTGTCCCATAGTCCAGACCCACTCCTTCCTGCCTAATGACGCTGTATCTGGAATTCAGAAGTGCCTCTGCCCTGGGTGTCTCTCCTTCACCTCTCATGAATTTCTCCACGAGATCTTTCATGTCTACTCTATTTATTCTAGCAAGCAACTGCCACTCTCTCATCTCTTCTCACCTAAACATTGCCTTTGCTCCTCTGCTTTTCCATTTTCTTTCCTTAGCCCTTGTACTTTGCCATTGGACATACTATATATGCTTTTTTTCTTCAATTACCCCAACTACAATGTACGTTTTTGATGGCAGGGATAATGTTCAGATTTTTCACTGCTGAATTCCTAGTACCTAGAACAGTCTCTGCAACAGAGTAGCAGATAGTAAGCATGTACAAAATGTTGCTGATGGTAAAATTTCAAGGTTATATATACAAAACCTTATCTTGTATCTTTTAAACTTTTTTTAGATTTTTTGTCATAGGGTGTGTGTGTGTGTGCTTGCTAGAGACAGACAGAGGGAAAGTGAGAAAGCATCCCCCAGGAGGGGTGACCACACCACAGTCCTTTTACCTTCATTCTCCTCTTGGGATTTTGGGCATGTACACACACACATCCAGCATGATTTTCAAGCCATCAGGTCCAGGACTTGAACTATAGTCAGCCATATGGGAGTTCAGTGTCTTAACTACCATGCCTCCTGCTGACCTTAGGCAAATCCTTTATTTTAAAGTATTTGTCAGGTTCAGTCATTAACAACAAACTCAGCAAAGAGATTGGGGTGAAATACCTCTTTCAGTAAAATTAAAATAAAGATAGACATAATATATAAGAGAGCTATATAAATTAGCCATCTAGAGTTTAAAAGAGCCACAGTAAGATGATGATGTCTGGGCATGTTAACATGGACTTTCATTCTTTCAATTTCAGCACGTGGTGATATTCTGGGGCAAAGGGTGCCCATTCTCAGCCTTATCTTCTTTTCTGAAACATGTCCAGTTCCACGGATCTTTCTACAACATTACAGAACATTTAATGTGCATATAAATGCAAAATTGTCTAAAGGTGATTTTGAAATTGCAGTTTGTTCACTTTCATTGAAATTGTAATTGACCGGCAGTTCTCACAGGTACATTTTGGCATTAAGTTCAAAGTTCCCATAGATTCCTATTTGGGAATGAGTTTTTGCGCTATACGGCACTGTGGACAAAATACACATAAGATTTGGTAACGTAGACAAATAAGCCCTGCACCCCTAGTTTTTCATAACGCTTGTAGCCAAATAGCAAATTTACTGAAGTATTGTAGAAATGCTAACAGAGGGTTAGGAAAGACAGTATATTTTTTTGAATGTGCTTTGTTCAAAAATGATTATCTTTATGAATTTCTTGAATCATGAATTGCAGTCATTTTTCTGTCATACTTTTAATTTATTGCATTATCCATTAGTAAAAAACAGATAATGACTAAGTTTTTAAAGTTCTTCACTCCCTTTACGACACTGCAAACATCCTCTTCTATCGATATCAATATATTTTTTACAGATACCTATCGGTTTTCATCTAATATGTTGATGTTATTGGTAAATTTCTATTTCTAAATTATATAAGTAGAAGGTCTTGAAAAAGTTCATGGGAAGTGCTTATTATTAAAAGAAGAACTGGGTCAGTTGTGGCTTAGTGGTTATGTGGACTGGATCCCACATGGTTGACTGTGTGGTTTGAGTCACAGATTAGGTGGCTTGAAAACACACAAGAGGGGGCCGGCAAGTGGCGTGCTGGTTAAAGGTGCTGGACTCCCACGTGGCTGACCACAGTTCAAGTCTTGCACCTGGTGGCTTGCTTTCTAACTTTCGCTCTTTCTCCCTCTGTCTGTGTCTCTCTAATCAAATTATAAAATATAATAACAATGATAATAAAGTTAAATAAATAAATTCTTTTACAAAAAGAGAGAGTTCCAGGAAGGTTGTGAATCTTCATTAAAAACAAAACAAAAAAAGAAAGAAATCACACAAGATGTGTGTGCGTGAGTGCCCCAAATCCCCAAACAAGGGAGAGATGGGGAAGGGATTGCAGCATGACCATTCTCAATGGGATGATACTCTCTTTCTTTCTCTCTTGCATTCTCTCTCTTCTACTTCTCTCTGGTGAGTTCATATCTACCTTCAGGTAAAATTATATATATAGATATAGATAGATATAGATATAAATATATATATGCATAAATTTCAAATTTTTGCCACCAAGGTAAACTCATACTTTAATTTCACTGTTTCATGAACTTTTTGAAGTTCCTAAATTTTTTTGGGTGGGGGGAGATGTTCTTGCTATAGGGTGCTTGCAATTGCCAAAAAGATAGAGAGAGTCAGAGAGATAGAAAGCCAAAAAATCACTCCCCAGGGGGATGGCCACCCTGCAATACCTTCTCCTCCATTCTCCTCTCAGGATCTTGGGCACTCACACACATGTGTCAGGTGTGAGTTTAAGCCACCAGGTCTGGGACTCAAACCGCTGTTGACTTCATGGGAGTCAGCGACATAGCCATTACGCCAAATGCTGGTCCCAAAGTTCCTAAATATTTAATATGTGTGCTCCATAAAGGCAGGAAGGATTTGGTTTAGTTAATTGCTATATTTTTAGGGCCAAACATTATTTGACATATACTAATGTAATAAATTTTTGTTGAATGGATGAATAAATGACAAGTATGCATATACAGCATAATCATTAAAAACTAGTGTGTCTCATCTTAGCTGACATACTAGAATAACATAAGTGTGGTCTTTGTGCTCTATTTTAAAACAGCCAATTCTGGGGCCAGCAGGTAGCATGGTGGTAGAGATGCTGGACTCCCACATAGCCAACCCTTGTTCAAGTCCCAGACCTGGTGGCTTGCTTTCCCACTTTCCCTTTCTGTCTGTCTCTCTCTGATCAAAATTGAAGAATAATTATAACAAATAAATAAAATTAAAAATAAATAAATCTTTAAATAAAACTTAGCCAGTTCTTTAATAAAAAGATCAATTGCTTCAAAGTGAATCTCTCAAATAAATATGAACACAGAGACAACCAGCCTAAAGTGGATGCACTTGCCTCCATCAGAGTTCAGCATAAGTTACTTGGCTTTCTAAGACTGCTTGATTTAACAAACACCATTGTTTTCCAAACTGTTTTCTCAGTAGCTAAAAATACTCTTGAAAGTGCCAGTTAAGAAGGGGGGGACCACTCTGAGACCAGAATAGTTCAGGAATAACTTCCTCTGTGACAAGACCATCTCGGTACCGTGTGGGTAAGGCTGATGAAAGTGGCAA